AGCAGAAATTTGAAGAGATTTTGTAAAGAAGTACCGAATGCTAATAATCAGAAGATAATTATTATTGGATTGTCTCATAACCTAATACAGATCATAATTTTATTATCATATTTTGTAGCTGCATTTATGCCCATACACAAACAGTGGTACAATACACAACAGAGCCAATACATGAACTAAAATTACATTATTGTGATATCTGTTGATCACAGTGTGATCCTGTCCTAACAACTATAGAGAGACAAGTGTCTGTGTGTGTGTTCACATATGTATAATTATTTTTTGGAAACTGTAAATATACATCGATATTAAGACTTTTCACACAATTGCATATGTTTCCATCTCTGAAAAGTATTTTTAACTATTGAAACATGAAATTGTGTGATGAACAGTGCATCGTGTACAAGGTCAATACAGTTTATTTAGCATGTTTTGGAACATTTGATCTGTGGGTCTCTTTGAAAGTGACTGTCAGTCACATTTTGGACTACAGCACAAGTAATGTAGCTATAACTAACTGAGGAGAAAGTGGGATCTCACTTTGAGAAATGTGCTGGAACGTCTCTGGTGGTTTCTTTGCCACTAGAGTGGGCAAATGGATCATTGAGTGTCACATCAACAAACATGTGACCACAAGAGTAAGCTTGACTTTGATCAGTTTATATGTGGGCTAAACAAATCACACAGTGCCTTTAGTGCTGCTTGCGTTTGTGGCCAGACACAGTATTCAAGACAATTGAAAGGACTATACAACTATGGGTCGTTCTAGGCCCGTACCTCATACGTGTGGACACCATACAACATTAAGAGTTCAAGGAGAGCAGGCAATGTGCATTCAGTTCACAATTACAATATTTATTTAAAAATAGGATTGTGGTTGGAATTCCTGAGAGAAAAAAAAACAATAAGTTTAAGGAAAAACCTTTTATTTAATACTAATAAATTAGCTAAGACAATCAACAGCTAAAAATACAAGCTACAAATGACATTTGATAGTAGCTAGTAAGTAGGCAGGGTACTTACCATGGGGAGATTCTATCGCAGACCCCAATAGTTACCACCACGTGAACACACTGATCACTAACACTACAACTTACACTGCAAGGGGGAAACAAATCTACAAGCCACTCAGGTGACCACCACCATTACCACACTGCATGCAAGTAGGTGGATCCACACGTACTCCCCGCGGCTTGTCCCGCTGCCTTTAAAGGAATAAAACCAATTAATTTCAGTGGGCACAGTTTCACAGAGGTGAGAAAGACATGAATGAATCTAACGATAACAGTATAGCAGTTAGTTGTTGAACAATATACAAATCATGAACTATTCACACAAGAACTAAGATTAAGCCCAGTTCAACATAGCTCATGTAAGCCCGACAATATAGGTGAACTGGTTCAGGCAAAGCAGCAGTCTGGCACTTAGTCTGCAATGAGGGAAAACATGGTCAACATAATTTGTATCAACTGGCAAAAATACCTACACGACCACACCAGCTCACCCTGATAAAAGGAGACACCGGGAAGGTTGGTCAGCAGACTACTCTGGCTCAAATGAGTGGGAGACATGGGCTGAGATTCCTAAAGGATTCAATTATTAATCAATTATAACCAAACAAAGGCTGCTATCTATGGCCTATACCGCTTCACCATGGGGCTACACAGCAGATGATCAGTCAGGATCAATCAGGACAGGGAAAACTCCATCTAACCTTACCTACAGAGGGCAGTGTTCTTCTTCTGCATGTCAGCCCTCACACAATGATGACTTCTTGGTGAACTCAAAAATTAACTGAAATAATAAATAATAATAAATAAATATGTTCTATGAGAAACCACATAAATCCTTTAGTTGAATTGTGTCTTACAGACACTCATCCCAGTGGTCTAATCATAATCATGGTTTAATACATGGCACATTCAATCTGACAAGCAGAAGCATTCTGAGATAAGAATCCTGCATCTTCTGACATCCACCACCAAACCAACATTTCATCTTAAATCCTCGCTATTGTGCAACAAAGAAGGGTTTATCCAGATTATTGATATTGTGTGTCAATGTAATAAATATGTTAAGTAATATTTGAAATGAACTGCACGCAGCCAAATCTGGTGCATTATACCACTCTGATATAGTTTTGATAAATCTATGCTTTAAAGGAATACTATAGTAAAGATTGTGATGTTTATGTTTAAAAGCACTCCACCCTGACTCACTTCATACTTCTGGGTATGTGGCTAAAGTAATTTCCAATCACAATTGTTTGGTGCCGCTATTTACAGCAGTCTTTAAAGGAAGCATATTTGCCTCCAGCACGTGAAGGCCTCACTCGAACAGTCAGAGGATGATCACATTCTGCTTAGACCAACAGGAAGGTTCCCTAAAGGTGCATCAAGCTCCACACACACACCCAGCAGCCGGAAAATAAGTGCATTTACTTTAAAGGTCCAGTGTGTAAGATTTAGGTGAAAGGGAACTAATGACGGAAATTTAATGTAGAATAATCCTCATGATGTTTTCACTAGTTCGTTTCATCTAAATTGTATGAATTGTAGTTTTCTTTACCACAGAAAAGGTCCTTTATATTTAAATACTTTATATTTACATCGAGGGGACCCTCTCTACGGAGGCCGCCATGTTTTTAACATTAGTACAGACTGGACAAACTAAACACCTTTTGAGTTTTTGTGACAACTGAAGCTACCACAGGTTCTTTTTCATGTTTGGAAGTGGAGGGTGAGGTGAGGGGTGTTCAGCTGCAACATGAAATTTCAACACTAGATGGATAACCCCGACCACTCTCTCCACCATATCCTCCAGGCTCAGAGGAGCACATTCTCACTCAGACAACTCCGCTGTCACAAGGACAGATTCAGGAAGTCATTCCTGCCATCCGCCATCAGGTTCTATAATATTTCCTTGTAGCAATTGTAACAACTGACTGTTTAACTCAACCACATTAGTCTCCTATTCCCATCTGCATTGTAAATTTAATTTATTCACTGCTATTTATAATGACTGGTWTTCAGTATCAGTTGATGTTATWYWYGWWGAYTGTATATAGTAGTTAGTCTCTTTTGCACATCACTGTATCACTTACTACCTGCACTGTTTTATCACTTTATCACTGTATCACTTACTACCTGCACTGTTTTATCACTTTATCACTGTACCACTTCTACTCTTGCACTGTTTTATGGTTTTATGTTTTTATGTTCTTATGCTTCTTGATTATTGAAACATTCAACTAGCCTCCTCTGTTTTAACTTTTAACTTTGCCTCAATTTAGCTCTGTCTGAACAACTCAGTCACCATCCTTCATGTATGCTCTTTTATGTTTGTACTTATTGCACGTCTGTACTGCTGGAACAAAAGAATTTCCCCTCTGGGATGAATAAAGCGTGTCTATCAATCTATCTATCTAGATATCACTAAATTATACACACTGTACCATTAAGTCTAAGATATTATCACTTCTAAAGCTAATGCTGACTGTTTATTGTCCTGAAATGCTGATGATGCTGGATGCATGTTGTTTATAAAATTGAATCATGACTAATATAACTGTCTGCTGTTAATAAGCAATTATTTAGCATTACAATAGCTACATGGAATGATTTTAATCTTGGTTACTATTGTTAAAATCTTCCATGTCTGTGGTTTCCGACTGAACTTACTGATATGGACAAACGTTCCAGGTATCGTGTTTTATGTCGAGAAAGACAGAAATCTGACATAATTAATGGAAAAAACACAGGTTTGCCAAACTCATGTTATTCAAAGTAGAGCAGAAATTACTTAATAGGTTATAGTTTTAATTTATTCATAACACTCTACAGGTCAACAGGGATTAAAAACACAGACAGAATTTTGTTCCAGTGTATCAGTACCTTGTGTCACTCATTGTTGTCTCTGTTAATGATTGATCACATTTTTTGAGTCAGTTAATCAAAACATAAAATGATGCATAAAATTCCTCAGCAGACCATGAAGGGTGGGGACATTACAAGCCATGCACAAATATTTGCACTTGTCTATCTTGGCAGAGATGTGTATCAATCTTAAAGCTTGATAGCTGATTCCACTTTTAGAGACTTTTGGGGTAAAAACTAATCCTGAATTCTAGGAGTGCAGTATGATATGGCATTAGCTCTTTAAGGTATGATGGTGCCATATTATTTAGGTCTTTGTAGGTGAGGAGGAGAATTTTAAATTCTAATCTAAATTTAACAGCAAACCAGTGTAGTGAAGCTAATACAGGAGAAATGTAATCTCTTTCTTGGTTCTTGCCATGCCCTGCAGCATTCTGGATAAGCTGCAGAGTCTTCAAAGACTTGTAGCTTGATAATAAGGAATAACAATAATCAAGTTGTCAAGACGTGGACTATTTTGTCTTCATCTTTTAGAGATAGGACGTGCCTGATTTTTGCAATGTTACAAAAGTTGAAAAAGGCTCTTCTTGATGTGTTGTGTTCAAATATTCTATTCAGTCTAGTTCAAATTCAAATTCAAAAGACTCTATTGTCATTGCACAGTCATACTTCTTACACTAGCACAATGAAATTGTAGCACAGTCCTCCTCCTCGATGCCAAACATACGATTACCAAGACACAATCCACTACACAAATTGAAATAAAAATAAGGGGATTCCAGGACCAAAGGCATTTAAATATATAAGTGTGTTGTCAGATGTTTCACAGTACAAAATAAACGATGCAAAGGCAACAGAAATGAACTTTTTGTACATGTACAAATGTATTTTTTCTTGTAAATTGTTCACTAGACTTTACTTTATTACTTTTCTATACAAACCATTACAGTGAAAGGTGTATATCATTTACATACTCAGCATCTATATTCTATTGCCTTTTTCTTATATGTATTATTCTTTTGTCTGCCTGACCATCTGGCTTCCCTGCTGTGTATGGATCAATACATTTGTATCTTGATGTGTCTCATCTTGAATGTCGCTGAGAGGTTCGTCTTATTCTGAAACTCTAATCCGGATGTAGAACCTGACACAGTCAGCCTCCTCCCAGAAAGGAGAACAGCCGGAGCGTTCTTCTCCAGTGATCTGCATCTGTAGTGGCCTCCTCCGCTGCCATATGTAATTTAACCTCATTCATTCGCCCTCGGACCTCATTTGGCTTCGTGTTCGCTGTAGACGGTGTGTTTCGCGGCGCGTCCCCCTCCGCTGCGTCTGTCTCCCGGACGTTTATCGGTGTCTGCCTCGGTGACTGTCGGTTGCAGGCGGGCCGGTGAAAACACAGGACGATGATCGAGCGACCAGAGACCGCTGTTCCCAGCATCGCCGTAAGTCCCCTTCGAACACACGCATGTCCACATGTCCGCCCTGCTGCTGGTTGAAATCTCCCTCGATTTCTCGTTTTAACCGGACCTGCGTGTTTTCAGCTGCGGGTACCGAGTTTTCAACGTACGAGGAGAATCACACACCGAGCTCCTTTGAAAATGGGCTGGTTTTAGAGCATTCGATGTGCCCACGGAGACGTGAACTCGAATACAGCCTCACAAACACCGTCCGGTGAAGGTTTGTCCTCCACTGATGAGTTCGGCTTAATTTATCCGCTTCGTTTACGGGAGCACCGTAGATGTCACGGTTTTAAAGATGTACCACGCCTCCCATCGCTGCAGCCTTACTATGATGAAGTAATGTCGTGGGTGGCGATCTATCTATCTAACGTGATTAATAACAGTTAGTTGCTACGGTTATGTTTGGTGGACCGTGTGTTTGCTCGGTTTAGTTATAATATAGAGATATGACGCTGTAACGTCTACTTAACGCCCGGGTGGGTTGACGGTCCATCTGGGTTTACGTGGTCTGGTCTCTCCTCCAGCTGCTGGAGACTGGTTGACTCTGACACATTAACGTTGAGACGTGTTTTCACACCCACTTTCACACTGTTACTGGTGTAAGAATGCAAATGACCAAAATCCAGGTGATAGTTCCAGCCACCCACGGTCTGATGTCGTGCTGTGAGGACCAGAGCCCTGATGAGATTTACTCTCCAGCTTCAGATGTCCTCAAGAAATCTCTCGATTAAGACCAGCAGCCAAATCAAGTCCAAAAAAGGACTAATGTTATGAAACATGGCTTGGTGGGCTACATTTGATACAAGTTAACAGTGGCTGAGGCGTTCACTACTAGAGACAGTAAAAGCCTGCTCCCCGTCGACTGGATTATAAGCCTTCTCAACTGCTACTCTGTGGAATGGAGCTCGGTGTGACACCTTATTTCCCTTACGCTCAGCAGTGAGGGATCGCTCACCACCACACAACACAGCTGCATTGTGTTTGTGTCTGTTTGTGATTCCCTTCACATTACACAGAGGTGGACATTACACACACTGCGCTCCCGGAGGCGAAGTGAAGACACAGTGGGCCCAACATGCTCCCTGCTAAAAATAACAAAAGAAAAACGTGACACTACTTCTTACATAACTAACATTGAATTTGTAATAAATAGCAATGAGAAGGGCTCAGCATCAGCTGCTGAATATATGAGGGTGTGGGACTTGGCAGCACAGATGATGTCACTGAACCAGGCAGCTACTATCACCACTGGGTGGACTGGGGGAGGGGTCTCCATGAATGGTATGGAGTCACTGACCAGCCCTCCTTCCCCCCCCCCCCATAACTTCCTCTTTTAAGTCTCCTGTCTGTTTTTTTCTCCCCATATTGTTATGAGAAAAATCCATACAAATCTAAATCCATTTTGCTAGATGCTGATGCAACATGCAGACATTACAGTGACACAATGATTATTATTAGGGTGGAAACTACTGTTGGATTCATTTCAGCTAATAGCTGAGGGTCGGAAGTTCCTACCTGCAGCTAAATGACCAAACCCGTGAGTCATATTACCTGTGCTGCCTGCAATGCACTTAAACAGGAAATAGCCAGACCATCAGAGGAGGGAACTTATATAACACACACAGAATTTGTATGTGGGTGGACCAAACAGGGAAATGGAAAGTGCCCCAGGCTCGTTCACTGAAGTTCTGCATGCTGTCGAGCTCTTTGCACCAAAGAGTATTGATGAGGCCAATGGGTAGTTTCCTTTTTTTGCTGCAGTATGTGTCCATAACATCCACTGGTGTGTAACCTATGGTTTTGTGAATGTCAGAGTCAGCAGGATGAAATGGAAAATGGACAGTAGAATGTAGAGTTGTGTCAGTGATGGTCACTTACTGTTGGTGTGACAGAAGTCATTGATTTACAGCTACAGCATAGTAGCACGGTATTTGTAGTATTAGGAATGTAAGGTGATTGAGGCTTGAAAACCTGTAAATTAGAAGATAGAATACTGTCAACTTTGGCAATCAGATTTTTTGTATGCGTGTATAGTTTAATAAAAGAACTTGCAGAAGTTCAAGTTTTTTATATTTGTGTTTCCAGGAAGCAGCTTCCAGGCCTATATTTGTAATTGTGAAGTACATCAGTAATATTCTTGTTAAATGGCAAATGGTTTGTATTTATACAGAGCTTTTCTAGTCTTGATGACCACTCAAAACAGTACAGTTTGCCATTCACACATTCACACACACACACACACACACACACACACACACACACACACACGCACACACATTCATACAGTGCATCTATTGGCAGCACTATAGTCTATCTATTGTTTTCATGAGGGGCAATTCGGGGTTCAGCATCTTGCCCATGTACACTTCGGCATGCAGATGGGGAAGACTGGGAACTGCCGACCTTCTGCTTGGAGGACGAACACCTCTCAGCCACAGCCAGAGCTATGGTTCAGGTGATAGGGAGGATCGTCGACTAACCAGAAGGTTGGGGGCTCGATTCCTGGCTCATCTGTCCACATGCTGAATTGTTCTTGGGATGGCTGATCTGTCATCCCAAGAAAGTGTGGATAACGGAAAAGTGTGGCATACAGAAACCAAGAGTATGCAGACACCTTAACATTAAATCCAAGCCAGATGTGACTGGATTCTGAACAAAAGTGTTCTTCTATGTTACAACACTTGTTTTTTATATTTATACTTGCACAAATCCACCACAGCAAATTCCTTGTATGTGTTGCTTGGCAATAAAACAGATTCTGATTCTGATGTGGCAGTAATATTGAATGTTTCCTGTGGAATTAAAGAGATCAGCCATGAAAAGAAAACCACAAGATTCAAAAAAGTGTGTAAGGAAAGGTGTCTACATACTTTAGTGTGCATACTCTTGATTATATCCATGAAAAGGGACAATATGGCAGATTGGTTCAGTTTTAGAGTCCAAAAATGTAATTGCTAAAGTAATAAGTGATTGTGGTGAATTTTATGATTGACGACTGAGATTGACTCACAATTTGTCAGGAAAGTGTCTCAGAGAGAAAACTCAACGTTTATTACTGCGTAGACTCTGTATCCAAATGGTGTCACAAGCTCAGCACCCTCATCAGAGACATTTTGACATTTTGTACAATGGGAGGATGTGGAGACGTGTCTTCCATCTTTACATGGAGTTAATGATTTGAACTGATCATGGGTCAGCCCCCTGAATCTGCTGAAAAAACTAAGTTTTTGAATGTGGTTCCTCAGTGAGAATTTAATTGAAGTTGGGTTGTTGACTAGATACGTTTGACACTCACACTGTTATGGTGTTTTTCCAAATGTCTCTAATGATTCCCTGCTGCTGTTCGTCCTGTTATTTGGTGACTTCACAGTCTTCTTTGTTCAAGAGGGTGGTTATTGTCAGTTTTAAGTGAATGCAGGCAATTGCAGATTTACCTGCTTTCTGATTTTTCGTCATTGAATGAAAACAGAGCAGGGATGATGGCACAGTATGAATCAGTGAACAGATACTTTACTTGCCTTTATGGTAGACCATGCTCATTAAAGATATGCACTAATAAAAGTGTTAGTACTGTTGTTGAAGTCTTGGTGTTCTTTAGAAAATGACTGCTCTCACTCATCATACATGCTAAAAGGTAAACACGCACTGATTTCTTGCCTCAGTTTTTTACTACTGTCTGTCACACATTGTGACAGAGTTCACCAAGCAAGTTGGTTTGGTGATGGAATAAAGATGAGAAACTATTCCTAACTGGCTGCAGAGCAGACACCGTTGGGCAAAACATCACTGTGGTGTCTAACCTGCACTGCAGCTCAATTTTTTATTACTCCAATAACTATCATAACAAAAACTGTCTTGACTTAAAATTTTAGATAAACCAAATCAATTATTAAAAATTGATTTGAGCATCTTTTTTATTCCCATTTTTATCTTTTATCAGTTTTATGTGGAGCATTGATTTAAGGTGATATAGTTTTACCCTAATTGTTAATTGTTTATACTATAAACAATAGTAACAATAATACTATAAACAACAAACAATTAAGTGTAACATTAAAGCCAAAGGCAACATCCAGATCACAGGAGCTGCTGTCATGGATTTTAACTGACAGATTTGTGTCTGGCTGTTCAATACAAATATTCAACCATGTGTTCCTTGTTTTTCATATAGATTATGAAACAATTCTTACTTGAAGGGATGTACAGGGTCACAAGTAAAAAAGTAAACAAGATCAAGTTATCCCTCTGAGCTAATGCATGCTAATGACACCAACAACGGATCACAAACATTTTTTACTGATACTCTCCTCAAAAAATCTGGGTAGACTGAGTGGTCTCAACCTTTAAACTAAGGGGATATGATTGTTTGTTTGGATCATCACTTTTCTATTTTTATATAAATGCAAAAATTAGCTTGGTTTTCTTTGCACATCTTTCAGTCCTGCTTTGAATTGGTCTTAATTTCAGCTGTAGCTAGTTTAAACCATGCTCTCTCAGGGCTGCAGTTTTCCATCGTAGCCATGCATGACAGAGTCTGAGAGGCCAGCAATCAATTGTGTTTGCCTCATGTAGCGTGCAGGATGGTGCACAGTGACTAGAGGGGGGGGGGGTATCTGACAGCAAACAGGGATATACAGAAAGGCATAGGGAGGAGATGGGGAAACATGAAGGGATGAAGAGAGACCTGGTGGTAAAGAGAGAGCAGCTGTGAAGCCTGGCTGTGATCTGGACATGATGGATACGACTCAACACGTAGGGAGAATGGATTTGTTTGTTTGCGTCGCCTCGTCTTCGTCCACTTGATTTTCCTGAATTTATGCTTTGATGAATTCATTGGCTTAATTCACTGGTTAACATTACTTTTTTGTCTTAGTTGACTTGTTTGACTAACTTTGCCAGTGTTGACTCCACTTCCTCTTTCCGATCACCTCAGAGAAAGCCTCTTATTTCTCTGTGAGTCACCCTCACCTCTCTCCCCCTGCCAACAGCCTTTTTCTCCTCTTGTATGTATCCCAGCTGTGCTTCGCTTCAAAGGGGCTTTGTCTCTGCAGGACACAGAAATGCTAATTGCAGGTTCACGAAAAAACAAGATTTTCATCACTTTGTGGCATATAATGACTGTTTGCTTCTGTGTGCAGCTAGTTTTTTATTACTGTGTATTTGTACACACATATAAAATACCATAGTCACACTTTTGCGTTTGTTTGCATGTGTTTATAAGGGCTCTTCTATTATGCCATTACAGGCCCATATTCTGTGATGTGACAGTGTGATGCTTTGTTATACCTGAATTAATACAAAGTGTGTTTGTCGTGTGTTTTCCTTCAGCAGCGGAACCTTGAGGGCTATGTGGGCTTCGCCAATCTTCCCAACCAGGTGTATAGGAAGTCGGTCAAAAGAGGTTTTGAGTTTACATTGATGGTTGTTGGTAAGTTGGAATAATCGTGTTTTTGTGTTTGTGTGTTTGTGTGTGTGCGTGTGTGTGGGTGTGTGCGCGCGTGTGCGTGTGTGCGTGTGCGTGTGTGTGTGTGTGTGTGTGTCATCAGCTCAGGTAAAGCATGTGTGGAATCTTGTGCTCTCAGCTGCTCCGGATGATGAGCTGACAATTTAAAAAGCACTTTCTGCAGAGTTGTGTGGTCCAGCATGGCTGTTACAACATGTGCATTGTGTTGTTCTGTGACTAAGAATGAAGAATGTGTGCATGTGAACATATTTCTTGTAGGAGCTGGATTCCTATTTCCCAGGGGAGTTTCCCTTCTGTAGCCTCAGGATGCACAGTGACATCTGTGTGTTTTGGATTATTTGATTTGGAGAGTGAGTTGCAGGATGTTGGTTCAAGTGTGAATGAGTTCGGATGCAGAATGTGGTTAACGGCATTGCAGAGGGAGGGAAATGGACAGAGGGGTGGCGGAACCATGGGTTTGGCAGTCTATACGGACACACACATACCCTCACACAAATTATAGCAGTGTTGTAATGACATATTGAACCATGCTCTGTGTGAAAGGGCCCTCTAATGAGCAGATATGGATTGTGTGGAGAAAGTCCTGTGGAGTTGTTCAGCCATCAAACTCAACTTAATTATACCAACTCGCGTCCTGCGTTCGCAATATGGAGTGCAGGAAGTGTACACTGTGCAGTTGCTTGTTATAAAACATGAAATAATAATAAAAATAAGAAGATTTTATTGTGACTTCATATCACGAAGAATCATAGAGATGCAAGGAGACAACAGCTGCTGTTACAACTTAACATCTGCAAGGACATTTTACATGGTAGTAATGAGTAACAATATGTTTCCTCATCTGGATATGAGATGACCTGGATCAGTAGAAGAGATTTTGCTAATTTCCATTCAGCTAAAAATGCTTTCAAAAATAGTCAACACACAGTCAATGACTTCAATAACAAGTCAATGAGAAACCATGAGAAATAATAAGTCAATAACAAACAAAGTCAATAACTGTGTGGCCTTATATGTTCTTACATGTTTTTCTGTGTTGCATCAACACATTATACAACATGATCAGTGACGTGTTACTAGGTGTGTTTTTGTACTTTGGACAGAGCCAGGCTATCTCTTTCCCCCTGCTTCCAGTATTTATGCTAAGCTAGGCAAGCCGTCTCTTGACTTCATTTCAGTCTTATATTACTCTACTTTCCAATATGCTGCACCAATTCCTTTCAAACCCTGAATTAGAAGTGCTTGAAAAGTCATCTTTGTTTCTGCCCCGTCAGAAATGTTGTGGATTGGGCATGTTGTCTACTTTCATTAAACTCAGTTCCAGTTACCAGTTAAATGTTTTTAAGAGGTTATAAATCTAACTGTGTGTGTCATGTGGTGACCATGATCAGTCCAGTGAAAGGAGACAGACATTAACACAAAGAGGCGTCCAGCCTTTATTATCTCAGCCTGGGGTTTTTGCTTCCTGTTTAGTAAACAGCCACTGTCGACGAGTAGCAGGAGGGAGACAAAGACAGCAGAGTGATGGCTTGGGAAAAAACCAGAGAGAACCACAATCAACCAGATCCTCTTTCAAGTGTTCACACACATGGGCCCCTGTATCCGTCCCCCTAGGTCTCTTGGCTCCCAGATCACATACCCCAACTGATCCAAATTTCACACATAACAAATGTGGAGAGGATAGCAGTGTGATCGGCGCACTTGCAGATGAGGATCCGAGCAAAAGTTTTTCTTTTAACAAAAAACAAATATTGGTGTTATTAATGAATTAAAAAGCCAATAACTAAGTTAAAATATGTAAATAATATTAAAATAAAGCTAAATTTTTTATAGTTTTTAAAATATATTTAAGTAAGTATTTATAACAAGAGTTAAATATGGCTGTAGCTGTTCAGGCCCAGCACATTGACCTATGTTAGACCTATGTCTTCAGGGGACACTCAGGCTCACACATTTTGTCTCATTCGTAATAATTCAAACAATGGGTTCAATATAAAGTACAACTTTTTATCAAACACAGGAATGGTAAGGAAGGGGGGAAGAAATGTAGGTCATTAAAAAGGAAATAACTTGCAGTGCTTGCTTTGACTTTCATCACGACAAGGCTTTGTTTAACCTGTGTTTTTGAACAAATTGGCGGTCTAATCAAATTTGGAAAGCTCGTCATATGTAAAATTGGATTGTGCAAACTTAGAAATGTGTTCCATATCCTGTCCAATGCGATGAGACTGGATGAAATCCGAACACTAAAATGTGTTTAACACATTTCAGATTAACAGATTCTGTCCAGCTGTGCTTGTGTATGTCGCTGCAGCAGGCTGTGTGGGGGTAACTGTGTTGGTAGGCTCTCTTGAGATAAAACAGGGTACAATGCACGATGTCTACATTTCTGTCTGACCGCAGACACAGGCTGTGTTTATAGGGCTGGCCACTTAGACTTAAATGTCTTTTTTTTTTTTTGCTGACTTAAATAATAAAGATCAAATGACTACAATTTGACTCAAACAAACATACATTTTCATTAGAAAACTACTGTATGATAAAAACTAAATAAAACAAAAAAGATCCTTGGAGGGAATTAAGAGATCTGTGATTGGGTAATGCTGCACAAGCTATCTCAGCTTTTATCTCAGTAAAAGCTGAGATAGCTTGTCTTTCATTTTGTGCTTTGTACTGTGTGCCCATGCTCAACCCAGCTGTGCCAACATAGATGATGCATCCACACCACTGGCTGTGTTGTGCCTTGATGTGGTTTACAGTGGTCTCATTGTTGGTTTTGCATATTAAACCTATTGTCATGTGAAAGTCACAGTGATGCTTGTGTAGTCTCACTGTGCTTGTCTTGCACATGTGCAGCTCTGGACTCTCCAGCAAGAAGCTATGCATGTTCTGCATGTTTCTACCAGAAACTACTCTTCTGGTATTTTGTCTTTGACCCCTGTCTTTTCTTCCATCCATCCATCCAACTCTCAGTCCACCTCTCTCTGAGGGGGAAAAAGCTGCTTCCTGGCCCTTTGTCCAGCTGGCAGATTGAATTGAAACTCCTGGAAAGATTAGCAAGATCCAGCGCCAGTGCAGCAGAGGGTTGAATAGAGCCGAGAGCAGGATCAGATCTCTAGAGCTGAGAGGAGAGGAGAGGGGAAACGATGCCTGCTTCATGCTGCTTCTGAACGCGAGCACTTCACATCACCGCTCAGGAGGAGAGCACATCAGACATCTCCTATGAGTTTGAGCGTGCAAGCAGAGCTGGGTTTCACAGGGGCCATTACCACAGCTAAACTGATAAGTCTGTCCCAAGTTTCACTGACTTGTAATAACTTATTTGACTTATTTTTCATTACGTTTCAGATCACAGTTTCTCAAATTTAAGCTGATCTCTTCTCTGGCTTCAGTTTTAAATTTGTTAAACTGTATTGTGGAGAAATGTTTCTCACTGTAAGATCTGGAAACAAGTATAAACTCACACTACAACTAAAATGAATTGTTTATATTGACAATCACAGCAAATTCACAATTCCATACACCGCAGCTCAAAGTGCTTAGCATAGCTTATTTTGACTAGTTCTCTGCTAGACACTCCAAGAGCAGACAGAATTTTCAATTTATTCAGATACTGACGATAGAGAAATAGCTGGAGCAAGCACGGGCAGTATTTTTAGCCGTGCTTCCAGTGTGGCTTGAGGGATGCTGATGTTGGGCTGTTGATCCAGCGTGAAATATCTGCAACTACACACATTTGTTCAGATGAAGCCTTATGGCTATGGGGAGCCCACTGACCATGTAGCACCACTTTGAGTTGGTATGTTTTATTCTTTAGGGAAATGTCCGTCACTGTAACTATAACATTCTTGATTCGATAACCATGAAATTTGATTCTTACTAGTGGTCGAACTCTGAGATTCCACTTACTAAACTAACCATACATTATTAAACTCTCCTTTCACATTGTGTTGATCCCTTACCCGTTACTTCTTACAACTCTTCCCTATAAAAGTCTTTGGCTTGTTGCACACAAGCATTCAAATGATATCGAGTGGTGTGAATTTGTTTTAATGCAGACATGTCTGTTTAATTATGTTTATTAGTATTTTTCCTTTAAATCGAATCTAATCTAGCTGCTTTCAGACACACGCTGAACTCCTGAGATCCTCCTGTTTTTTCCGGAGGTGTGTATGAATGCAACTGCGAGTGAGAATCTCCTGGGTTTTTCGTGTAAAGTCTGGTGTTGATGCGGTGAAAATAAAAAAACGTGATCTGCAGCAGAATTAATACATTATGTCCTGCCTCTGCCTCCTGCATCACACACCTGAGTCCTCTGGAGGATGTGTTGCTGTTGTGAATACGTGTGAGTAGAGAATTATCTCCCGCTGCGTTGTGCATGTGTGAAAGTAAAGCTGCGGAGAAAGTCTGGATCTAATTCTTCAGAGTTCCTCCACAGGTCATGTCTCAAAATGGCTATAGACTGCGTTTAAATGGACTACAATATTATGATACCAACCGGATTAAGCCAATAGTCTGATTAAGATGCTGCTATGTAAACAGCATTTTCTAATTTCCTTAACACAAATAAAGTCATACTCAGAATAAGCAATAATTAAATAGTTGTCGCAATATGTAAATATATGTAATATAACATTGATATATGGCAGTTACCAACTGCTTGATGGCACATGCTCTGGGTGTAAACAAGACATAGTAGAAGACCTTCATTCATTAGTAAAGACCTGTGAATGAAGCAGCCAATAGTGTGGCTGATCTTAAATCACTTTTCTACTCCAGTAGTAGTCTATTTATCTGCCTCACTGATGCGTGTGTGTGAATGTAAGACTGTCCTACTGTCTGTCCTGTTATTGCTGCACTCCTCTAAGCTTGTGAGCTGTGTGTGTGTGTGCTTGTGCACAGATAAGATGGTCTGACAGGCTTAGGATTGACCGTCTTGCCTACTGACCTTGCAGAAGGGAGTG